TTCTACATTTTTCATTTTAGTTGTATGGTGAATACACATTTATGATTGCTATGTCTTTTTGAGGGATTGACTCCTTTATCATTATGTCTATGGCAATTTTCTTTGCTCTTGAATCCACTTTATGTGAAATGTTCATAGCCATTTCTCTTTCATTATTATTTGCATAATGTATCCTTTTTCATCCTTTTACTTTCACTCTGTCTAAGTTGTTACTTTGAAGATCTGAAGTGAGTTTCTAGTGGACAGCATATAGCTGTGTAATGTTTATTTTGAATCCACTCTGTTGGTCTCTGTCTTTTAATTGGTGTATTAAGACCATTTATGTTTAATGTAATGGTTATTCAGACTTAACTTTGCCCCTTTTTAAAAAATACTTTTTCCTGTTTTTATTAATTTCTCTGATTTATTTTGCCTGCTTTCTTGTGATTTACTTGAACACTTAATTTATCTATTATGTTTTTCAGTATATCTCTTTGTATCAATTTTTAGCGGGTTTGCACTTTCTACTGTTTTCATCATTTTACCAGTTTAAGTGACCTGCAGAAAACTTATCTCCCTTTATGGAATCTACTAAAATAGGAACTATGATTACCACCTGACCATTTTGTGCTCCCCATGCATTAGATCAGCAGGAAAAGACACAAGTTGTATTTCTAACTGGAATAATTGCTATTAATTACCATGAATGTCTATGGTTGCTACTGAACAATTGGGACAGGAAATAATATGTCTTAAACAGAGAATTTACTTGCATATGCAATGAACTTTCCTATTACTTCCACAAAGAGTAATAGAAGCTAATGTGCATTTCAGTTACAATATACAAAAAGAGCAGAACAGCTAAGAACTCAAAACTTTCATGGATATTAAGTAGGCTTTATCCCAGAGGTGCAGGGTTGGTTTAACATATGCAAATCCATAAATATAACTCACCACGTAAATAGAAGCAAAATCAGAGACCATACGATCCTCTCAGTAGCTGCAGAAAAAACATTTGATAAAATTCAGTATCCTTTTCTAACAAGAATGCTTAAGAAAATAGGCATAGATGGCACATTTCTTAAATTGAATATAATATAATAGCCAGCCAATATAATATTAAATGGAGTAAAACTAAAAGCATTTCCACCTAGAACTGGAACCAGACAAGGATATCCACTATCAACATATTGGTGGAAGTTCTAACCAATGCAATCAGGCAAGAGAAGGATACTAAGGGCATCTAAATGGGGGCAGAAGAGGTCAAACTCTTGCTGTTTGACAATAATATGGTCTTATACTTAGAGAAACCCAGAGACTCAACCACAAGACTACTGGAAGTGATCAAGAAATATAGTAACATCTCAGGGTATAAAATCAGTGTCCACAAATAGTAGTCTTTGTATATGACAATAACAGCCAAGTTGAGAAGCTAATCAAGGACACAATTCCCTTTAAAGTAGCTCCAAAGAAAATGAAATACCTAGGAATATAATTAACAAAGGAGGTGAAGGATCTGTACAGAGAGAATTGTGAAATTAAGAAAAGAAATAGTAGAAGACATTAACAAATGGAAAAGCATAACATGCTCTTGGCTGGGAAGCATCAATATTAAAATGTCTATACTACCCAAGCAATCTAAGATTAAATGCAATCCCCACTAAAATACCAACATCATACTTTGAAGAACTCAATTTGTGTTCCACACTTCATTTTGTGTGGAATCAGAAAAAAACCCATATAGCTAAAGCAATTGTTAGTAATAAAAAAAAATCCAGAGTCATCACACTACCAGACTTCAAGTTATATTACAAATCTACAGTGATCAAAACAGAATGGTATTGGCACAAAAATAGAGACAGAGACACATGGAACAGAATAGAAAACCAAGAGATGGAACCAGCCTCTTACTGCCATCTGATATTAAATAAACCAAACAAAAGCATACAGTGGGGAAAAGAATCTTCATTTAATAAATGGTTCTGGGAAAACTGGCTAACCACATGTAAAAGACTAAAACTGCACCTGCACCTCTCACCACTTACAAGAATTGATTCATAATGGATAAAAGATTTAAATCTTAGATACAAAACAATAAAAATACTAGCCTGGGGAAAGATTTTATGAAGAAGACGTCTTTGGAAATTGCAATAACAACAAAAAAATAAATGGGACTTAATTAAGCTAAAAAGCTACTGCACAGCTAAGGACACAACAATTAAAGGAAATAGACAACCTTCAGAATGAGAAAAGGTATTTTCATGTTAAGAATATGACAAAAGGTTGATAACTAGAATCTACAAAGAACTCAAATTAATCAATAAAAAAGAGCAAACAATCACATCTATCATTGGCAAGAGACATAAATAGAACCTTCTTGAAGAAGATAGATGAATGGAAAACAAACACATGAAAAAATATTCACTGTCCCTACTCATCAGAGAAATGCAAATCAAAACTATCCTGAGATATTACCTAACCCCAGTGAGTATGGCCCATGTCACAAAGTTTCAAAGCTGTAGATGCTGATGTGCATGTGGAGACAAGGGAACACTTTTATACTTTTGGTGGGGTTGCAAACTAATACAGCCTCTTTGGAAAGAAGTATGGAGAATCCTCAAAGAACTAAAAATAGACCTTTCATTTGATCCTGCAATTCTATTACTAGATATCTACCCAGGAGAAAAAAAAATCATTATGTCATAAGGACATTTGCGCTAGATTGTTTATTGCAGTTCAATTTATAATTGCCAAGACATGGAATCAACCAAAGAGCCTATTAACCCATGAATGGATTAATAAACTGTGGTATAAGGGCCAGGCTCAGTGGCTCATGCCTATAATCCCAGGACTCTGGGAGGCTGAGGCAGGTAGATTACCTGAGCTCATGGGTTCAAGACCAGCCTGAGAAAGAGTGAGACCCCATCTCTAAAAATAGCTAGGCATTGTAGTGGGTGCCTGTAGTTACAGCTTCTTGGGAGGCTGAGGCAAGAGAATCACTTGAGCCTAAGAGTTTGAGGTTGTTGTGAGCTATGATGCCATGGTACTCCAACCTTTATCTACTGAGGGTGAGAAAGTGAGACTCTATCTCAAAAACAAAACAAAACAAAACAAAAAATCCTGTGGTATATGTATACCAGGGAATACTATTCAGCCATATAAAGATGGAGACCTTGCATCTTTTGTATTTACCTGGATGGAGCTGAAGAACATTCTCCTTAGTAAAGTCACAAGAATGGAAAAGCAAGAATCCACACCCACACAAGAGAAAAATTCAATTTAATTCATTGGGGGGTAGTGGGAAGAGAGAGGGAAGGAGGGTTGGTGTGCTCTCACTTAATGGGTGTATTGTAAGGGTATATGGCACACTTCCTGGGTGAGGAGCACAACTACAACAAGGACATTACCTAACACATGCTAACATTGTAACCTAATCATTTATACCCTCACAGTAGTCTGAAGTAAATAAGAAAAAAAACTTTCTTATATAGAAGTCTAAGTCATTCTACTAGGCATCAACATAGATCTGCCAAAGTGATAGCCTAGGGGAGGGAAATCTAGAATGGGTAGTAGAGAGTAAAGATGATGATCTTCAATTACAGCCTTGGGACAACCTACAGTTGTAGGGAATCTTGTTTCATTACACTTTTACTTAAATCTTTCCAGCGCATAATGGGAATTATGAATTACCTTATGGGGAGTCAATATCTTATAAGGAATTCTGAATTATGGAATATATATACACCCTATTGGGAAAGGAGGGAGAATTGATTCATTTTAACAATGACAACAAATGGAGGTACCTTGTTATAGGACGGGAGCTGGATAAAATGAGAAACTATAAATTGATCCGAGTAATGTAAGGCATGAATTGTACTGAACACAAACCTTATGCAGTTCCCCAGGTTCTCCTGACTATGACCTTCTTTATGAAGGACACCTACCTCCTGTACCAACTTACTATCACTGACTCCCTCTCCCTTGTTGGGAAGTGGGGAGGAAACTCTAATTAGGAAACAAAAATGTGTGTGCTCCATCCCCATCTTTGCCCAAATCCCCAAGATGGCTGGAATACCAGCTGAAACCCCAGACCTATGTGATCTATAAGCAGATACACACATATAACACTCATAATCAGCCAAGGAAGAAGGTTAGAGAATAGCTATACATAGTTGCCACAATATTTAACCTAAATTTTTTTCTCTGTTTTATTTATTTTTTTTATTAAATCATAGCTGTGTATATTAATAAAGCCATGAGGTACAGTGTGCTGTTTTTATATACAATTTGAAAAATTTTCATCAAACTGGTTAACATAGCCTTCATGTCATTTTCTTAGTTATTGTGTTAAGACATTTATATTCTACATTTAGAAAGATTCACATGTACCCTTATAAGATGAACCATAGGTGTGATTTATTTATTACATCTTCTCATTGCAAATTCATCATAAATCCTTTTATTAAAAGAGCATAGGTTACTCCTGTATTGTTCAGAGCTTTCTTTTAATAGCTATAAATATTTTTGATTCATAACCTTAAACTTTAAGGCTTAAAGCGATAATTGTCTGTATAATTTCCTACTTTTATAGAGAAAAATATACTTGCTTGCTTAATGTTGCCAACTTTTTGCCATCTGGTATTGACTTATTTTCTAGTGTTATTATCATTAGTCTACTTTTCATGACTTTACTCATCAAGCTGTGATAACTAGCATACAAGGCTACACAGAGTTTTAGAATTATGAACATTGCAAAAGTCATTTCTCCTTGTTCAAAGTTATTAATAAGTAAAATAAATGAGCAAATAATCTCTTTAGAGATTAATGCATGAAGCAAAGTCTTGATTTTCCTCCACCATATGAAGCTCCTGGTGGAGAGTCAGGGAGGGAAGTGGTGATAAGGGTCATGATTCCAAAATGAGATTCCAAAATGGAATTCCAAAATGAGACACTTGAGGCAGAAATTTTACGTGAAAACCTACCCTGGAGGGGATGGGGGGCACCTTCAGGCTCTCATGAAGTCATTGGCTCCATGAGAAGGAGACTTTGCCCCTGAGAAGTCTGACAAGTGCATACTTCATGTCCTTGTTCCGCAGGCTGTAAATGAAGGGGTTCAGCAGGGGAGTCACCACTGTGTACATGACAGCAGCCGCTGTGTCCTCCTCTACTGAGTTGGAGGAGGAGGATGAGGGGCACAGATAAGCCCTGATCACTGTCCCAAAGAATAGGGCAACAACAGCAAGGTGAGAACCACAGGTAGAGAAGGCCTTGTGCCTTCCCTGGGCAGAGGGGACTCTGAGGATGGCAGAAATGATGAGGGTATAAGAGATGAGGATGAGCATAAAAGGGATTAAAATGACTGCTCCCCCGAGGAAGAGGAGCACACGTTCATTGACCAGGGTATCAGAGCAAGACACCTTCATCAGGGGTCCCAGATCACAGAAGAAGTCAGGGATGGTATTCCTAGAGCAGAAGGAAAGCCGAAATATGAGGAAGGTGTGTGTCATGGCAACGAGACTTGTGAGGGTCCAGCAGGCAGTCACCATGAGAAGGCAGTGCCGGAGGCTCATGATCATCGTGTAGTGGAGTGGGTGGCAAATAGCCACATAGCGGTCATAGGCCATTGTGGCCAGGAGAAAGATGTCCATGTCCCCAAAAGTCAGGAAAAAGTAGAGCTGAACCAGGCATCCTGCATAGGAGATGGATCTGCTCTGAGTCTGGATGTTCACCAGGGCCTTGGGCACAGTGGTAGAGGTGAAAAGTATGTCTGCACAAGACAGACTGGCGAGGAAGAAATACATGGGGGTGTGCAGATGTGTGTGGGTGCCAATGGCCAGAACAATGAGCAGGTTCCCAACCACAGTGACCACGTACATCCATAGGAACAGGATGAAGAGTATGTGCTGCTGCTCGGGCCGCTCTGAGAGTCCCCAGAGGAGGAACTCAAGGACACTGGTCTGATTTTCTCTTTCCATGAGCCCACAAGTCAGTCTCATTAAAGTTTTGTAAAACTGTTTTACTTGAGATTATGGGTGACCATGGCCATTCTCTGAACTCTAGAGAAGAAGAAATAATGAGAATGAATTTGTATTCCATGTGCACTGTAACTTTTTACCGAAAGTTACCAAATAACACTATTCTAGAAAGTGTGGAAGACACAATTCAAGATAATTAAAATAGATTTCCTCTTTTATATCTCTATACCTTTTCTGTCCCAAATTTCTTTAGTTTTACTTTCTTTGTCATTAGCTGTACTCTCACAGGGATCCAGAAGTTTTGATTCATTCTTTCTCTCATGTTAAGTATCAACTCTTGACCTGGAACCATGCTAGGTAAATAAGACAGGAGTGCAGTCTGCATGTTTTATCTACATAAATGCCTTTGGGCTGGTTGGAATGTGAATTGTTGATAGGTGGTGATAGCTTTAAGGAGAGGGAAAAGTTTTAAAACTGAATTTTATCAAGTAACCAATAAAATTTTCAGAAGCTCTTTCAAAAGATGCAAAAATACGTATCTGTGAAGAAAGAATAAAAGAGATGCAAAAAAGTAATTGAGTTAATAAAAGGATGTAATGGAGCCATTTATATTTCAATTACTTGTTTTGGGACTAAGCAGCCTCCAGATCTTAATTTTCCCATTTATATACTAAGAACCATGCAAAGTGACAAGTGAGGAGGATAAAAACCCAGAAATGCATGCTTTGGTGAAATGCATCCATCATTGGTGAAACTGTGAGACAGAAACATCATGCAATTCTAAAACAGTCTTAGAAATGAGTGACAGTAAATACCCTGAAGCCACACAATCAACGTGGGAAGCTGAGGCCAAGCAGCTAAGCAGGTGAGTAAGGCATAGAGAGCGTCAGAATCTGCAAATTCTCAGTCAGTATTCATGCCTAGGAAGAGAAGGCCTTACTCTGACAGACAATAGTTGTGGGTATGTGGATAGGTCTGAGAAAACAGGGCAAGATAAAGTGTTGTACCAGGTGAAGACCAAAGGGAAGGAAATTGTACAGAGAAACATCTTGCCATAGAGCCACATCCATCATTGTAGCAACAGAAGGAATCCTTGAACTGCGAATATGGAAAGTTACCCTAATCCTGCTAAACCCGTGCTACAGAAAAAGGCACAATTGTTCAAATGTAAATTGTACATAATGGTTAAATGGCTGGACCTATTCAGAAATATATCATAAAAAAGTAAGCCCTGAAAATCCAAGCCATTTATCAGAAAACAACTCACTAGGAAATTGTCTCTATTGAGGAAGATTCCAATAAAATATATCTTCAAGAGTTTTCAAAAGCAAAAAACCATTAGATGTGTGAAAGAATATTACAAAGGAGAACTAAGGAGACTTGAAGAAGATATGCCTGGACCACAAGCAGATGTGAAATAGGAACTGAATTGGTCTGGAAAGAAATTGAAGAAAAAGTCATCTCTTCAAGAAAGACTAAATTACAAAGATTTCAAAGAAGAATGGATAATACAGAAATCATTATAAACGGAGTAAAGAATAGAAATCTGAAAAGCAAAAGAATTAAAAATAAAGAATAAGGTGGAGGAGTTGGATAGAAAGAAATGGGTCTAGAATTGACTAAGGAGATTCAGTACATGATAAGCACAATCTCCAAAGAAGGAAACTAAACTTTGTAATAGAAGAATATTTAAGATGATAATTTAAATAAATTTCCCCAAAATAAAAGGAGACCTTACTCTACATGTTGAAATGTCATACATTACACCTGGGAAAGCTGATATAAAATAGTTAATAGTTAAAACATATCTAAGTAAAATTATTAGATGTTCAAATTAAAAAAAAAAAACAATCCTTCAGGTAACTAGTTCCTCCACCCATACCAAAAGAAAAAAAAAAAATCAAGGAAAAAAATCAGGTTGGCAGCTATCTTGACAGCAACATTCAGTCCCAGAAAATGATAAAAGAACACCTATAGGGTGGTGCCTGTGACTCAAAGGAGTAGAGTGCCAGCCCCATATGCCTTAGGCTGTGGGTTCAAACCCAGCCCTGGCCAAAAACTGCAAAAAAGAAAAAAGCACCCATAAGAAAATCAGAAATACATATAAAGGTGAGCCAAGTATTTTATACCAGCCAATCTGCACTTTAAGCATTAAAGGTTACAGGCAGAGTTTTGAACATAAAGAAATTCCGGGATTACTGTTCTTATGATTTATTCCTGGGGAATCAACTAGAAAAATAAGCTTTAGGTAATGAAGAAAAGGTTGTAACAACCTCAGCAAAGAGACTGACTAGTGAAAAGCACTGAATACATAAATATATATTTACCATAGATCTAAGACCAAAACGTGGGCACTAATGGTGACAAAGTAATATTTAAATGTAATATGTGCTAATAAGATAAAAATGACTAACTAATAAGTGGAAAAAGGGGGAGGAAAGTAGGAAGCATAATAAGTTCCTGACTATCTCTTATGAACACTTAGGAGCAAAGAAATATCCAAATATCCTATTAAGCAGGTAAGTCAAATAGTAGAAGCTTAAACCTATTTAAGAGGGCAAAGATAAACTAAGAAAGAATGCTTGATAAAATAGTAGAAGAAAGGTTACGAGTTAATTTTATCATTGTTTATAGTAAGGAACAAAAGATACTATATAAAGAAAGAGGAGTCTACCAGTATTATATTAAGGCAGCATAATGGAAAACTTATGATCAGGGAACGAAAGCTACAGACTACCCACTAAAGAACCTAAAATAATGTGATAGATTTATGACTAACCTTCCAATTGTGTTACAAAATGTAAAGGAGCTTAGTGTACCTTTTTAAGGAAAAAAAATTTTAATTGACTCACAAAGTAAAACCCAACTATATCATTTATATAAAATAAATTGCTAAAATAAAGTAATTCTGAAATGAAATGATGAGCAAAGGGCTAGGAGGCTAATGTGAATAAAAGAATATGATATTTATATCAAATAATGTAGAATTCAGGACAAAATCATTAAACAATATGCAACTTGCTTCATAAAAAATAGAACCTGGCCAGGCGTGGTGGGCCTATCATCCCAGCAACATTAGGAGGGAGAAGTAGGAGGATCACTTGAGGTAAGGAGTTTGAAACCAGACTGGGTGACACAGTGATACCTTGACTCTACAAAAAATATGAAAATTAGCCGGGTGTGGTGGCACCTATAGTCCCAGCTGCTTCAGAGGCTGAGATAGGAGGATCACGTGAGCCCAAGAGTTTGAGGTTACAATGAGCTGTGATGATGCCACTGCACCTTAGCCTGGGAAATAGAGCAAGACCCTGTCTTTAAAAATAAAATAAACCTACATCTATAATTAAATTATAAAAAATAATAATATATAATATCTGGGCACAGAAATTTTCTTCAAGTGGAGACTATAGAAAGTACAAGAAAAAAACACATTAATTAAAGGACACTTAAATAAATTTTGTCAGTCCAAGTTCAAGTGATATAAAAGTAAGGAGAGAGAGTACTAAACAAAATAAGAAGATACATGTGTAAACATATGTGTGTATACATGTGTGTTTGTGTATCGCTGTGTTCTAATAACAGTAGTGAATACAATTACTTTTAATTTCCCATGAATATATTTTAAAAAGTATATAAAGCCACAGTCAAAACCTCAAATAAATTACAATATTTCATTTAATGATCTCTGACAAAAATGCAATTAAAAATTAATTACAGGGGGTGGAGGGAGCGTAATTGGTGGGACCACACATATGGTGCATCTTACAAGGGTACATGTGAAATTTACTAGGTGTGGAATATAAATGTCTTAACACAATAACTAAGAAAATGCCTTGAAGGGTATGTTTACCAGTTTGATGAAAATATTTCAAATTGTATATAAAACCAGCACATTGCATCCATGATTGCATTAATGTACACAGCTATGATTTAATAAAAAAAATGATTACAGAAAGTATAGAATAAAATAAAATATCAAATACAAAAAAGAATCAAAACAAAAAGTGGCCTTTCAACCAGGAAAACATGTTTAAATATCCTTATTAAATAACTTGAGAAAAGTGGAAATATAAAAATCAAAGTTTCAGAATTTTTGGAAAATAATAACACTGGAATCAGAATCCATGAAATATATTTAGCACAGGAATCAATAAAAAATAAATTGTCTTTAATACTGACATGAATAATAGTCAAGAATAAAATACATACACTAAGCTTCTAACACAAAAAAGGGCCTCAAAAATAAACTGATGGAAAGCAGTAAGAAGTAAAAACATTTAAAACAAATATTGAGTTAGAAATCAGAAAACAAAGTAAAAATTGAAATCAGAAAAAAATAGTTTTTTGGTTTTTTCCAACAAATGTTTGGGGAGAACTATATATCCACATATAAAAGAATTAATTGAGATCATATATAAAGTATATAAAATTAACTCAAAACAGACCACAGGGTCTCTCTCTCTCACCTTCTCTCCATCATGAGAGGGACCCACTTTCAACTCTCTTTGAAAGTGCTCTAAACTTTCTCTTTGTTCTCCTTACATAAAATTTCTCTTTGTTACACTGGAAAAAAACAAAAACAAACAAACAAACAACCCCCCCCCCAGATCAAAGGCTAAACTGTAAGAGCTAAAATTATAAAAGTCTTAGAAGAAAATATAGACAAATTTTCATGACCTTGAACGAGACAATTGTTTCTTAGATATAATCTCCAATTCACACACAACAAAATGAAAAGTATATCAATTGCACATTATGAAAATTTAAAACATTTTTGTTTCAACAGACACTACCAAGAAAGTGAGAACATAGGTCACATAAGAAGAGAAAAATTTTGCAGATTATATACATAATAAGAAATTTTATCTAGACAATATTTTTAAAAACTACAACTCTGTACTAAGAAGGCAGAAGTGGGAGGCAACAAACAAAAGTATATTTTAGGGGTTGGTCCAGATGTAAGTTTTTGCTAATCAATTTCACCGAAACCATAAAATAGG